TGTGTGTGTGTGTGTGTATATATATATATATATAAAATACATTTTTAACCTATCTAGCAATTTTCCCTCCCTTACCTTCCCATCCCTGATAACCAACAAAACAAAGAAAGTTTTCTTCCATATATAAACCTTTCCTTGACTTTCTGTAATAGGGAACTAATACATATTTGTCCTTCTGGGATTGACTTATTTCTCTCAACATAATATCCTCCCAGTTCATCCATGTTATGTGGTGTTTCACGGATCCTATGTTACTTTTTAGTGTTGCACAGTATTCCATTGTGTGTATGTACCACAGTTTGGTTATCCATTCCTCTGTTAATGGGCACTTAGGCTGTTTCCATCTCTTTGCTTTTGTGAACAGTGCTGCAATGAACATGGGTGTACATGTGTCTATTCATGTCCCAAGTCTCACATCTTTAGGATATATACCTAGTAATGGGATTGCTAAGGAGTTCTGGTGGCGCAGTGCCTAAGGCATGTGACTGCTAACCAGAAGGTTGGCAGTTCAAACTCACCAGCCACTCCATGGAAGTAAGACCGGGCAACCTACTTCCATAAAGATTTACCACCTTGGAAACCCAATGGGGGTCACTATGAATCGGAATCAACTCAATGGCAGTGGGTTTGGGTTTTTGGTTAATGGGACTGCTGGATCAAAATGGTGTTTCTATTTCCATCTGAGAGTTAATTTTTTCTCAACCATATGACTTCCATAAACATTAAAGACTCAGGCTATTCCCTCCATTCATTTATTTTTTTATGTATGTATATATGTATGCCCATTTTTAAACTGTGTTGTTAGTCATCCTATAATTGAGTTTCACTGATTTTTTAAAAATAATTAATTAAATTTAGGAGAAAAAAAGTCCTTAACATTGTTCTTCATGCAACAATGACATTCATTGTAATATTTTCCCTACAGCACCTCCCAAGGATCACTTCCTTGCATATCTACAGTACTTCTTTTTCCAAAGTTGTAAAAGACAGTGTCATTGAGAAAAATATTCTACTTTGGCATTCTTACAGTCAGTCTACTTCAGAGGCAATGCATAGTTGTTTGGACTGTCTTTCCCCATTCCTCCTTGCTCAAACAGAATAGCTTCATGGCAGATAGCCTCTTTGATTTTGTAGTCAAAATAGTACACTCATTCTATCAGAAAATCTGCATAAAAGACTACTGAACAGTAAGCAATGTGTTTCCTGATCCATGACAAATGGGATCTCTAGCTCAGTAACATCAGCTTTGAGTAGGACTTTGGAGGCATGACAATCAAAAGTGAGTGGCTACAACAAATCTTCTTTTCCTTGGTGCCTAATTCACTTCATTAGTAAGTGTTCTGGAACCCTCCACTTGTTTCTAGAAGGGAATCATGAAAAGACTGGGAAAGGTGAAGGCTCCAATCCCCATTTGTTTTCCTGGGGACTCACCAAGTCCTCCACAACCCCTTTCTCAGTGCCGGGACCAGCTGCTGAGAGTGGCCGTGGACACAGGCACACAATACAATAAAATCTCTGCTGGATGCCTCAGCCGCCTGGGGTAAGAGTGTGGCCCAAAAGAGTGGGTGGTGTACAGGGTTTCTTTTTTGCGTGATAAAAACGTTTTGAAATTAGATAGTGGGGATGGTTGTACAACTCTGTGAATGTATCAAAATGCAATGAATTGTATATTTTAAAAGGGTGAATTTTATGGTAAATGAATTATAGCTCAATAAAGCTGTTACTTTAAAAAAAAAAAAAAAGAGAGAGAGAGAGAGAGTGAGACTAGGAAAGTTCTAGCAGACAAGACAAGGATTTAGACCACACGGGGTAGCCAGGGATTAGATGAGAACCCACAGCACGGTAGGGACATCTGCTGATTAATCAGGGCAAGAGGAGGCCTTATGGTGGCTATAACCCTTATTTCCCAACCACAGGTTAGAGAAGCAGGTGCCTAAAGGCCCAGGTGGGAGCCTGGCACCTGCGTGCCCAACCCAAGTAGAGCAACTGGAGCTACAGCTAGGGCAGGAGACTGTGGCATGCTCAGCCCGGGTGGTGGGTAAGTCCTCCCTTCATCAACATCACAGCTTCTCACCTGTTCTACCTTTCTCTTCTGGGCAGGGGCAAAGGCAGTAACTAGGTCTTTCAGCCCCTGACAACGCCAGACAATGTGTTACCATGGAGTCTCTGATCATCCCCAATCTTTCTGCCAATATCCTCAGACCTGGGGGATGGAGAGGGTAGAGAAGGGGTAAATTCTGAGAGGAGGGCAGCAGGGGCCACAAGGCATCCACCAGTCTCCTTTGTTTTCAAATGGTTCCTACAGATGTCGAGAGTCCTGAATTCTGCCTTGGATTGCAGACTCTGCTTTCTCTCAAGGTAAGCAGGATGCTAGCTAGCACTTACATCCATGCTTGGGGCCTGACTCAAAGTTCCGGGAAAAGAGGTAGAAAGCACAGGTGCGGGAGCATAGAACAGATTCTGATGAGAAAGACTAGGCTGGGAAGCAGGAGTTCTAGTTCCCAATTTGCTTCCTTGTGGCAGTGTGCTGTCAAATTGATTGTGACTCATAGTGATCCTACAGAGTAGAACTGCCTTACAGGGTTTCCAAGGCTGTGATCTTTACAGCAGCAGGTTGCCACATCTTTCTCCCACAGAGCAGCTGAGAGGTTCAAACTGCCAACCTTTCAGTTTGCAGCCAAGGGCTTTAACCACTGTGCTACCAGTGCTCCTTTCTAAGAGGTTACTTAACTACCTACAAGTGAAAATAGAGAACCAAGTCCCTCCCTGCACAGGAGTCCAGGTGAAGGGAACAGGAGTGGGGAGAGTGGAGTGAGCACAGAGGAGGTGGAAGCTGTGAGAAGTATGAGGGGCAACAAAAAGGAGTGAGCCGGCAAAGAGGTTGCTTACTGAGGCTTTCTCTCACACTGTTCTCCCCTCACAGAGCTGCATCGACCTGGAACATGGAGTGCTGCGGCTGAAAGCCCCGTTCCCAGAGCTGCCCTTCCTGCCTGTGTACCAAGACCCTGGCCAGTGACCGCTGTCCCAGTCTGTCCCCAGGGGGAAATACCTTGCCTTAGGCGAAGAGTTGTGTGGGTAAATGGGGCATTACTACAGCCAGGTAGCTGGGGACTACTGTGTCTGTCCCTTCTATTACCACTGATCCCTACTGTCCTATTTCCCCCATTTGGCTACATTCCTCTCTGCTTCTACAGAAACTACCCTGTTCCCCCAGGAGGAGTTTTTATTAGAGATGGCTCATGATCCCAGGGTTCTGGTTGTCATGTCCCTTCTCAAGAAGAGCAAAGCTAAATCAGCACTGCAGAAAAGGGGAATAAGCAAAATGGGGCCCCAGGCTTGGTCCTTGGCATGACACCAACTGGCCCAAGTCAAAGGCTACAGACAATTGCTATCCTCCATTTGTACCCCACCCCTCAACCCGATTCTAATCACCACCCTACCCTCACTTCCACATCTTTCACTTCACCTTCTGGGGCACATCATCTCCCACAATGAGACTGCCACACTTTCTCATCCTGGATCCCCGATTTTTCTAGTGCCTACCTTTCTGATTCTGCACCGATCTGCTCACAGGTGAATGGGGGAAGAAGTGGTAAACAGGTACTCCAATACAACACAGAAGAGGAGTTGGCAGAAGAGTGTTTAGCTCACAAGGCTAGGTGCTCTTTTATTAGCTACATTTTCTGGGGTCACAAATGTCTCCAAAACTGGCAATTGTTTGCTTAATCTGTGCAAAAGCTTGGTTATATTTCTAGTATTTATTCCAGGTATTGACCCTTTTGCATTTGCTTTTTGAACCACAGGGGCCCCTGAATTTTAGGGGTCTCTGTGAAAGAGCCCTGTAGAGAACACTGCCCCTAGAAGGTGGACAGGTTGGTCAACATTGTCAGTACTCAGGTTTAACCTTGACAGTATTCTTATTTCTAGAGGTAACCCCTCAGCCCTAGTCCCTGAACTAAAGCTTGACCTATTTTGGAATCAGTGTTTCCTATCCCTCCACCAGGCTCTGAGCCAAAGTAAAAGGGCAAGGAGGCTCTTTTGACTTCACTGTGAAGAGAGGGGTCCAAATCTCAAGAAGCCAAACCCCCAAGTGTTTTTCTAGTTGGTTCGAGTCACTCAAGTCATGGATTAGGGGTAGAGGAAGACAGCAGTGTAGTTAACCTGCACCCTGGGTCAGAAACTGGCAACCTTGGGCTGGAAGCAAAATCTTGAACTTTGAGTAGGTTAGAGAAGAACAAGGCAGAGGGGACGCGAGGGTAACAAGCACCCAGGGGCAATCTCTAAGTTTGGCCTCCCCTTCACGGGAGGGGTGATTCCCCAGCTGGCCTCGTCTGGTGTCCCCTTGGACATATACCTGTGGGCAAGTGTTTCCCTCTGCTTCCCCCTTACTATTGCCTCTGGAACCAGGAGGTTGTCTGTGACACTTTACCTCTCTTACCTTTCTCAGCTAACTCCCCTGCCTCAAAAGGAAAGATCGGAGCTATTTATCACAGGTATAACATTACCCTGGTCTCAAAACCTTAAAGGATTTCCTGTCCCTCACTGCCTTGCTCCATGATCTCTGCTCTCCTGAGTCTCACCCTCTTACTTTCCTTATCTGCCTCCTGTTGCTTCTGTAACCGCAGACCCCAGGCCCAAAGCTCAGCTGCTTCTCCACTTGAATAAATCCTTGTTTCTCTAGGCTGATGTTCTTCTCTGGTCTTACTCTCTGCCTATTAGGAGTTGAATGATAACACTCCCCTCCTACTCCTGTACTGACAAGAAATATGAATGTGAATTCTTCTCCTTGTTGACCCATCTGACTAGTGTCAGTATAATTTAGAGCAATGACTTTCACACCCTTTGGACCATAACTCACAGTTGTTGTTGCTGTTATGTGCTGTCAAGTCAACCCAACTCATAGCAACCCCTCCTCAGGTTTCCGAGGCGGTATCAACAGAAGTAGATTGCCCAACCTTCCTTCTGAGAAGTGGTTGGTGGGTTTGAACCACCAGCCTTCTGTTTAGCAGTCAAGTGCCTTAGGCATCTGACTAGAGTCAGCATAATTTAGAGCAATGACTTTTAAACCCTTTGGACCGTAACTCACAGCAGGAAATAAATTTTACATTGTATTCACTATACATATAAACATGTACCCCTACACACAACTATAACAAAACAATACTTACTTATACTTGTGAGCAAGGCACTCTGATATTTTCTATTTACTTAAAAAATGTAGACCACAATCCATCAAAGAATTGTAACCTACAATTTGAAAAACATTGGAGTACAGAGAATCAAGAGCAGAAGGGACATAAGGTTCAAGACAGAATTCTGACTGTGGTCTGGATCGTAAACCTACATCAGGTTTTAAATGACTGCTGTATTATAGACAAAATAAGACACTTTTTTTGGGGAAAGTGGCTGGTGGGGAAAATGAGAGGAAAGCCTATGATGCTCCATGGTATTTGAAGAGTGTGGGAAAATGAAAAAGCACTGACCTAGTTTCTTGTGATAAACTGAGGAAACTCATCTCAAGGCAGCTAGGGACAGAAATAAGATCCAGACTACAAAATGTTCTGAATAATTCCTCAAAAACAAAACAAAAGAGACTAAAGAACTACTTTGCCATTCTTGTGATCATTATTAATGCCAATGATTTGGAGTTGTGCCATGAAAAGATGGAGCTGGAAGATACAGAGGAGAAAAGGGACATAACTGAAGAAACAAAAACCTTGACTAGACAACATAATATGGAATCCAGTGTGAAAGGAGGTGTCTCCCACAGTAACAGTGGAAAGCCAGAGAATAGGGCTGCAGTTGCATGTGACTTGCTCAGCCTGTAGTAGTTAAAGTGAGAGAGTTTCCTTCTGATTTTTTTTAAGCTTCCTATTGAAATTGCTGAAACCATCACTAGAGTACGACTAATTAAAAAAAAAAAAAAAAGACGGAACTTGGAATGGGGTGCAGCCCTTCCTTCCACTGTTTCCCTGGCCCTGAAGCCTGGTTTCCTTAGGGGTGTTGGGGCTATGTAAAATATTTGGTCTCCCTTCTCACAAATAAGTCTCTGTCTTTACACAATGAAGGTAGGGATCTGAGGGTGGGGAGTGGCCCCAATTTGGAACAAGGCCAGGGTTCCTATGACCCTGCTGTATGATGGTTGCGATGCATAAGGAACTGGGCAGAAGGTGAACTCATCTCCTTTCACCAGGTCTATAGTCCCAGTCGCCCTCGGGTTGCTGCCATCCTTCCATGCCCAGAGTCAAATCCTGCGCCTCTGTAATGTTTATTCCCTATCCTGCCAGTACCATCAGTACCATGGATACCTCGAGGGAGAAGGAGCTCAGAAGGATCCTTCATCAGCTAAGATTCAGGCTAGCTCAGCTAGGTGGGATCCTGTGGGGCAGAGTGAGCACACTGCAGTGGCTGATCAGGATGGTAGAGGATTTGGCGAAGCAGGGCACAGATGGCAGGGAGGTCATCAGGATCTGAGGGCAAAAAAAAAGGGGGGTGCTGGTAAGAGACTGCAGGTTTTCTGGGCACTTGGACCATTGGCTTCTCCAGCCCTCCAGCTTCCGGGGGCTTGCTCACCTATGCCCAGTTCCTGCAGCAGGCCTCGGAATTCTGGCTCAGTCTCCAGCAGTTTCAGCAGATTGGTGGACTCCATCCGCTCCAGCTGCACCTCCCAGTACACATAGATCTTCTGGTTGAATGTGACGTACACGAGGCAGGGGCTGTTGTGGCCCTCTTTGCAGGCATACAGGCCTGAGAGATGTGGGTGGTGAGACAAAGGTCAAGAAGTTTCAATCCCAGTGGTGGGAGGGCAGAGAACAAGATACAGGCATTAGAGTCAGCAGTTTCTGCCCTCCCACAAAGTCAAGCAAAATAAATAAAGGCCCTTTTTCTATTTCTTCTCTGTTGGGAACTCAGTAAAATAGGTAAAACTGTCTCCTACATCTGTTTATCCAGACCACAACAACAAAAATCAGGCAGAAAAGACGACATTCAAGTGGCCACAAACACATGAAGAAATGCTCACAATCATTAGCCATTGAGACAGAGATGCAAATCAAAACAATAATGAGATACCATCTCACCCCAGCTTAATAGCAAAGTTAAAAAAAAAAACAGCAATGAATGCTGGCGAAGGTGTGGAAAGAATGGAACCCTCACAAACCGCTGGTGGGACTGTAAAATAATACAACCACTGTGGAAAGTAGTATGGCATTTCCTTAAGAAGTTGGAAATGAAAATACTGTATGATCCAGCAATCCCACTACTAGGTAGGTATATATCCTAGAAAAATAAGACCCATGACACCAACAGATAAATGCACACCCATGTTCCTTGCGGGAGCTCTGGTAGCATAGTGCCTAAGACACTTGCCTGCTAACCAGACGGCTGGCGGTTCAAACCCACCAGCCACTCCTTGGAAGGAAGGTTGGGCAATCCTACTTCCGTAGTGATACTGCCTCGGAAACCCAAGGAGGGGTCGCTATGAGTCGGGCTTGACTCGACGGCACATAACAACAACATGTTCCTTGCAGCATTATTCACAAAAAAGATGAAAACAACTTAAGTGACCATCAGTGGATGAATGGGTAACAGACTATGGTACATACACAAAAGGGAATACTATACAATGTTAAAGAATAAGGATGAATCTGCAAAACACCTCACAACATGGATAAACCTGAAGGACATGCTGAATAAAATTAGTCAATCACAAAGGGGCAATTATTATGTGAGACCACTACCATAAAAAGTTAAAAAAAGGTTTACAGACAGAAAGAATTGTTCTTTGAAGGTAACCAGGGATTTGTGGGGTGGGGGGAAGAGGGACAATCACTACTAGAGAGTAGATGCATATTAACTTGGGTGAAGGGAAAGGCAATATATGATAAGAGGGAGGTGAGCACAAAATGATCAAGCCATCACAAGACATAGCAAGGAGCACAAGAGTTAAAGGCAACAAAGGTGGATACTATTACATACACCACAAAACCAAAACCAAACTCACTGCCATCGAGTCGAATTCAACTCATAGTGACCCCTCCTTGGGTTTCTGAGGCGTTATCTCTACAGAAGTAGATTGTGCAACCTTCCTTCTGAGGGTTTGAACCGCCAGCCTTTTGGTTAGCAGACAAATGCCTTAGGCACTACACCACCAGAGCGCCTATGACATACACAATCCTCAAATAATAACAACAATAATTTAACAGTGGCCACATACACACTCAAGTATAACAGCGGTGGGAAGGTGAATGAGAGTACACCCACAAATATATATATAGGTTTGACAGAGGCTATTTCTACTGACGAGTCAGCCCCAGGGTTACAGGTGAGGAGAGACAACTCAGGGACGCCCAAAGTAGCAGGC